ATGTGCCTGAAATAGAACAATCTTTATTAAGGGAATTTATACTAAAGTTGTAAAAAGTTGACATGATATTCTTATAATTAAAGTGACATGTAGGAAGAGTTTAAAGATAGGGCTTCGTTATTTTTCTTGGACGCAACCTTTCCTCTTTTTTCTCCACCCACAACCTTCACTCGACAACAGTTTGAACAGTTGAGTTGTGAGAATGTGAGCAGCTGCTGTTATTATAACTAAAGGTCTGTCTCCTGCTTGAGTCTGAGAGACCACATGTTCGGCTGTCCTCTCATCTTGCCATCCTCACCAATTAACTATTAACATGGAGGGCTGTACACATGCTCTGGGGGGCTCTTTAACAGGCTTCTTGGCGAGTGCAACAACGACACAGCAGGGATCTGGGAACTGAGTCATGCTGGAATATGGGGGAGCCATCCGCAGTGCTGCTCCTTCTAATGACGCTTCACTCCACAGTTCAGCACGTAACAGTCTGTATCGCACTTAGTCATTTTCACATACGCTTTTAGCTCAATGTCTTTGCGCAGGTACTAAAACTATATTCTAGCAATAGACATGAAAGTAATACTACTTCACAGGGAAAGTTGTTTAAGACTATATCTATTTAAGGCATTCATAATGTATTTGTTGAATAATTTTAGTGTTTTCTTAACAGATATTTAGAATTTATTTTTATACCCTTGTTTCAAAGTATGCTTGTCATTTTCTTCCTGTGGTGTTATGGAAATATGCTTTAACTCAAAAGAAATAAAAGATTTATAGTTTAAATTTGTGAAGCTAACCATAAAATAATTCAGATGCAAATGAAAAAAATAATTCTTGTTCACTCTACTCACAAAAGTCTTATGATAACAATAAGTTAAAACCAGTTTTGAATTTGTCATTATTTTCCCTATTTTAACTTTTCCCCCTCTTTGCAATTTCCTTAACTATGTGTTCTTTCCCTACAATGAAATTAAACATGGGAAGCATGCCAAAAGTACAATCAAGGGTAACTAATCATTACTGCACAAGTCTGACAGAATGCTAATAACTAACGTGAGAACACTGATTGGCTGGTTTACCAATTCAAGAGCTACTGATATTTTTTACACAGTACTTTTTATATAGTGTTAATTTATATTAGGCACTCAAAGGTGCCACAGTTTTATTATTTACAGATGTCTAATTATATGACATTTCCAAGGATCTCAAACTAACATTCCTATTTCCTGCCAGAAACCAAGTTACCATCAACTACCAAGCTCAAGTATCCACATCCTTACCAATACCACTTTTCTGTTCCATCCTGCCTTCTACATTGCTGTGAGAACTCCATGGGTCTTGTTTGCTACTGTATCCCTGCTGGTGCTTAGAACAGTGCCGGTATTATTTGTTAAATAAGAGGATAAGCTAAATTACTCTTAGTCACTCAATCACCATTTAAGCCCTGACTTCTAGTCTCCAGCGACAGCACTGGTCACAGTGGAAAAGAAGTTATGTATGATGTTAAGAGTCTTGGGACAACATGGTGATGCTACTACGTGGATAGCATCTTATTCTCTTTCCTTTGCCTAAAGAATGTTATTTTCTTTGCCAGTCTTTAAAAGAAGTCTTATTTCCTATTTATACTATGACTGGTCTGAGCAAACTTAAGTTTTACATTTTCTTCAAAATGTCTTGATATAAAGTATATGGTCAGACAGTATGCTGAAAGAGCAGGGAAAAATTTGGATAGCCATCTGACTTATCTATGCCTCCTAGTCTGTCTCAGGCCTAACCGATGAGAAGACCCTGTCAGTGTCTTCCATAGCAACAGGCAGAGAACTGAAGATTTCTATTGTTTTGATAGACTTTTACATCTTATTTGTTGTAGCCTGATCTGTTTACATAGTAATAGTGAAGATGACAACTGCTAATACATATTGAATGCCTACTGTGTGCCAGCACTATGTCAGTAGCTATTGCTAATCCTCTGAATTGGGTATTTTTTGCTCCATTTTTACAAAAGAAGTTGAGGCTGAGAATGCTAACACTTGACTAAGACCATATAAAGAATCGGATCGATCTGCCTCTAAAAGTCTAGGCTCTTCCTATCATTGAAGGCTACTTTGAGCACAGTTTCTCTCCATTTTGACTCGGCTTTAGTACCTCTGCAGAATAAGCAGCACAGCACAGTGGTTGGGAATACAGTAACTGGAGGGGACTTCTTAGATATAAATTCTGCCACTTACTAGCTGCATGCACTTGGGAAAAGATAATGACAATACCAGTCATATCAGGTTAGTATGAGAATTAAATAAGCTAATAATATTTGAAGAGTTGAGAACTGCAGCGGCCTACCATAATCACTATGTACTTTTTATTAAATAAACTCACAGATCCCAAGTTATACATATTCATATGTCTTTGATCAGCTCTTGAAGCATACTGCTTCCAATTCTTATTCTCTTTCCTTTGCCTAAAGAATGTTATTTTCTTTGCCAGTCTTTAAAAGAAGTCTTATTTCCTATTTATACTATGACTGGTCTGAGCAAACTTAAGTTTTACATTTTCTTCAAAATGTCTTGATATAAAGTATATGGTCAGACAGTATGCTGAAAGAGCAGGGAAAAATTTGGTTTTTATAACTCAGTTGATAATAATGCCAGAAGACTACAATTGAACAGCATTGCAAAACTCTCTAGGAAAGAAAGCATGAAAGACAGGAAACTTTTAGAAGGTTGCACAGTTTTTTTTTAAAAGACATTCTCTGTTTGGAGGAAAGTGTCTTAATTCTTGGCCACACTCTGCAACTTTATACTCATCACCAAAGTGTGACCCTGTAGTTGGCCATTTCCATTTCAAAGTAACCTTTTTATTGCTACGTTAAAAAGCATAAATTTAAACTATATCTCTTCCAGTTATATAAGGGCTTAAATATATCTGTGAAATATCAAAATTAAAATATTGTCTCATGTTCAGACATCCAATTCACCTCATCATTCAATCATTATTTAATCAGCAGTAGTGCAGACAGGCTGACTTGGTGTCATCTGATAGTATCACGGCTGTTCCCTTTACAGAAGATAAAAGAATCACTGTCACAGACATCTACAATGGGTAGAAAACTCTCCTCTCCAGGTAATGCAGACGATGAACAAAATGGTTTGTTTTTGCTTTTTGGCACAGTCCTTTTGGAGCAAATTGAAAAATTACATATATACATATGATTATTTCATAATTTGCTTTGCAATGATGCACAGAGCATACTTTTGTCTTTTTTTCCTTTCTTGTCTGGAATAAAACCTTTTGTTTAATCTTTACGTGTACTAATTTAACAGATTTTTACAATGGTAGTTTTCTCTTTAAAAATGCTGAATAATAATAATGCAAGTCAAAAAGTTTTTTGTTTTCCTAATGGAAAGTTAGTGTCATCAAAGGTAGTTAATAATTCAAGACACATAAAAATGTAGTGTGACACAGGGGAAGAAGATTACGTTGTAGAGTTAAACAGCTCTGAGCTTGAATATCAGCTTTAAATATAAAACTGAAAAATACTGGCCCTGCTACTTATTCATGGGGTAACCTTGTGAAAACAGGGGTAAAAACTAACTATTCCTTAGAAATAGTGGTGAAGATGCAAGGACATAATGCTTGTAAAGTGTTTGGCATGTAGTACATGCCTAATAAATAGCTATAGTAATAGCACACTTGTAGTATAGTATAAATGGTAGTATTTTCACCAGTATCTGTTAGGTCTTTTCATGCTTACTTATCAGCAAAATAAAAAAGTTTACCATGTCTAACCAAGCTATTATTAAAGTATTAACTTTATAACAGTTTAACATCATTAGCAATGAAAACAATACGAGTAGCATGTCTAAGATGATTGGAGAAAGGAGTTTCCCTATAATATCTATACATTTTTAAGCTTATAATATTTTTAGGTACATATACAACCTGTAAAAAGTCCTTAAGGGAAACCTGAACTATACGCTCATGACTATTATAAATAAATACGTTCTACCAGCCGAGGAGTCCAAATTCAATTCTTATTTACACCAAACTTTTCAGTCATATTTGCTAGATATGCTGTGTATAATTAATGCAACTAAATGACAATTTAATAAATTTGCCATTTTCAGGTAGTGTATGGAATACTAAAATTACATAAATTTATAATAAAGATTCAAATAGCTTCAACAATTAAATATTAGAAACAATTTTCCAAGTAAAAATTAATATTCATTTAATTAACATTCATTGAATATCTAGAAAAAGTCTAGGTACTATGCTAAGAATTTTAAAATTACATTGATTATTACCATAAAGCCATATAAAGAAAAGTTAAAATATCTTGCCATGCCTCCATGGATATTACACTGTATTAGATATATATAAGATTATTAGATATATAAGATTGCATGCTTGAGGCAGGTAATAAGTACTTTAGTAAACAATACTAGTACTAGAATGTTTACTAAACATTCTAAACTAGTGAATGCAAATACACAATTAGAATGTTATCAAAGAGCCAAAAGTTGTCTGAGATTATGAACTAAAATTGTGTTAAAAATTCAAATGAAAATACATTGATTCATTAGTAAAAGGTAAAACTATAAAATGATTAGAAGAAAAAAAGACTGGAGGGCAAAACCTGGCAAGACTGGAGAGATGAAGAAATCCCTAGCTATCAAAAAATTAATAAATTAAACTTCATCAGTATCAAAAACTTCAGCTCTTCAAAAGACACAGTTTAAGAAAATAGAAAAGGCAAGGCACAGACTGGAAGAAAATGATTGCAAAATTGCAGTTAAAAATATATCAAGGAGCTTCACAAACTGATAATGAGATTACCCAAAGGTGTGGTAGCTCACACAGCCTGGGCAACAGAGTAAGACTCTGAGACACACCCAGAGAGAGAGAGAGAGAGAGAGAGAGAGAGAGAATCAACAATGGGTTATCATGGAAATGCAGATTAAAACCATTTCACTACCAGTTAGGGGAAAGTGGATCTGAACAGTTCTTACCTGGATCAGATGTGTTGGCATTGTGATGATGCAGGCTGAAAGAGAGGTTCGCAGAAGACCTCGGAGGACATAGAGGAACCGGCTCAGGCCGTGACTGCTACCACGGTTTTCTGTACAGCAAATGTCATCTCCCCATAAAGGTGAGCCAAGACTCTGAATTCCTATTCTTAGAATGTTTTTCTGTTTTTTCTAAAGGAAAATGGAAGGAAGATAAATGTGTAAAGTTTTGCTAATTAATAGGATACTTTCTTTATCTGCCATTTCTTATTTATATTTATAAAATCAGGGAATAAAACAAAAACAAAGCGTTAGGGTGATCATGTCAATAGATGTGGTTAAAAACATTTTATGTACCATTTGTAAATAGGCAATATAAAGGAAATCTTTTAGATTACAAGATTATTAAAAACAGCACAACTAATTTTTTTCACTTTTGAAAAATCTGAAGAGTATCACAAGCCTCAAGCTTTAAATTGTATCTAAATTTTAACAATGGTTATTCTAAGAATTATGTTTGAGGCAGTTATAATATACAATGAACCACAAGTAAATATAAAGAAAATCTAAAACAGAATGCTTGCAAACTCATTCTCAGTATTAGAAAATTCTGTCTTTTAATAAATTCCTTAATAGTTCTCATTTAATTTTATCTTACTGCCTAACCTTTTGTTTGAAAAAAGCTTAAAGCTGTATAACTTCTTGGGTTTACATTTTACACTCACCTCTAGTTTTTCTTCTTGCATGTTTTTTTTTTTTTGAGTTGGAGTCTCACTTTGTCACCCAGACTGGAGTGCAGTGGCCGCTCCCGGCCACCGCAGCCTCGACCTGCTGGGCTCCAGCGATCCTTCCGCCTCAGTCTTCCAAGTAGCTGGAACTACAGGCAAGCACTACCACGCCCGGCTAATTTTTGATTTTTATTGTAGAGATGAGGTCTCGCTAAGTTGCCCAGGCAGGTCTCGAACCCGTGGGCTCAGGCAATCCACTCACCTCGGCCTCCGAAAGCGCTGGGACAACAGGCTGAGCCACCGAGCCAGGCCGTAATTTTTTTTTTTTTTGAATTGGAGTCTTACTCTGTCGCCCACACTGGAGTGCAGTGGCACGCTCCTGGCCACCGCAGCCTCAACCTGGTGGGCTCCAGTGATCCTACCGCCTCAGCCTTCCAAATAGCTGGAACTACAGGTAAGCGCTACCACGCTCAGCTAATTTTTTTGATTTATTGTAGAGATGAGGTCTTGCCAAGTTGCCCAGACGGGTCTCGAACCCGGGGGCTCGGGCAATCCACTCACCTCAGCCTCCCAAAGCACGGGATTACAGGCTGAGCCACCGAGTCCGGCTCTCTTCTTGCATTTTATTTAGCATTTATGACTGACATTAAGGTCATAATAAGTGACTGATATTTATTAGGAAAAGAACATTTAAAAACAATTTAAGAAATTATAAAATGACTGTCAATAAATGTCTACCAACAGATGTGTTCATAATTCATTCTACTGTTTGGGTTATTCTAACTGAACAAATGTTTTGTAAATGCTTTTCTTAGCAATTCGGCAACATTTCTGGGCAAAAGAAGAGGCGTTAACAAAACCTGGCACATGCAAATAATTGAAAAATAATTACTACAACTCAATGGGAAAAATCAAATGTTCACTCTTAAAGCCATAATTTGAGCTATGTGCTACTTTAGATATGATTGCTGGTAACAAGTTCCTAAAATGTATCACTTGCTATTGCTATCAAAGATCATGAATAAAATTTATTAACCAACTAGTTATCGTCCAACACAATGTATTTATTTCCCTGATATTACAGATGAAAACTGTGCATTTCTTTTTCAAGTAGAACTTACTGGCAAAGGAAAGAAGGAAACTTTGGAAAGTTAGAAGAGTAAAACCTGAGGGAACATTAGCTAGTAAGATGAACATGATAGAGACTTGAAGTCTGGACTATGGAACTAAGTTGATGTAGGACTGTGGCAAGACACATACATTAGTCACCCTTAGTTTTTTCATCTCTAAAATTAAAAGGAGAGAAGAGAATATTGCTCAATGATTCCACACAATTCTTTGGATTATGAAGGGACATAATAGCCTGGATAAGACTATAAGAGTGAGATTACAGAAAAAGGAATATAGATTAAGCACGTTAGAACATTTCTTGCCTCCAAGGGTCTGAAATGATGACATCATGAAGGCACTGGGTCCCATTTTTTAAATGACTCTATTAAGGTTATGATAGACAACCACCTAAGACAACTTTTGTTTTGAATTGTTTTCAATTTTTTGCATTATTTGAATGAAATGAGGTAATAAGTTGTACCAGGGCATGTAGAAGTATAAATACATAGACTGGGCTCAGTGGCTCAGTCTATCAATCCCAGCACTTTGGGAAGCCGAGGTGAGTGGATCACCTGAGGCCGCGAATTCGAGACCAGCCCGGGCAACTTGGCGAGACCTCATCTCTACAATAAATCAAAAATTAGCCGGGCGTGGTTACGTGCACCTGCAGTTCTGGTTACTTGGAAGGCTGAGGCAGAAGGATCACCTGAGGCCAGCAGGTTGAGGCTGCAGTGGCTGTGAGCTTGCCACTGACTTCAACCTGGGTGACAAAGTGAGACTACAACTCAAAAAAAAAAAAGGTATAAATACATTCCTGTCGAATTAGTGTAAGCTATCTATGAAATTTAGTCTTTTTTGCTTATACTTAAAACCTCAGAATTTAAGTACAATGGCAAGAATTTAAAGTTCCTTTGCCATCTCTAAACTTGTTGACACATAATAATAGGTCTAAGTTAGATTCCCAACAAAAAGGGCAATTTAGAAAGAGGGAGAGACAAATCTACCAAAAAAAAAAAAATCTAGATAGCAGCATTAAACATAAAAGTAAAAAGAGAGTAGTATAATATTGTTTCCTCTGTCAACATTTCAGAAATAAAAGACCAGTGGTATTTTAGCCCACAGTTACCACTAGTTTATAACAAAAAGGCTGTTAGCCACGAAATCAGAACAAAGGCTGAATTACAAATGTCCTTTTTCCTTTGGTACTTATAATTCCTTTGCTATGCCATATAACAGTGGGGCATGCTGTGTAGCACAATAAGAATTAAAAAATAAACACTGGCCGGGCTCAGTGGCTCAGCCTGTAATCCCAGCACTTGGGGAGGCCGAGGCAAGTGAATTGCCTGCGTTACTGGGTTGAAGACCCGTCCAGGCAACTTGGCTAGACCTCGTCTTTATAATAAATCAAAAATTAGCTGGGTGTGGTAGTTGGCGCCTACAGTTCTGGCTACTTGGAAGGCTGAGGCAGAAGGATCACTGGAGCCCAGCAGGTTGATGTTGGAGTGGCCGCGAGTGTGCCACTGCATTCCAGACTGGGTGACAGAGTGAGACTCCAACTCAAATAAATAAATAAATAAACATTGCCAGCTATACAATAAATATATTGATTCCTATGAGAACATCCAAAATAATTATTCTGGTATTCTAAGTAAAATCAATGCTTAAATTTAACTTTTATAGTCTATTTCTTAGATGAGTGAAAATCACAACTTAAAATTATGACAGCAATCTGCAAATGTCTCAGCTTTAATGATCCTTTTTTTGTTTGTTTGTTTGTTTTTTTTGAGTTGGAGTCTTACTCGGTCGCCCAGACTGGAGTGCAGTGGCCGCTCCTGCAGCGTCGACCTGCTGGGCTCCGGCGATCCTTCCGCCTCAGCCTTCCAAGTATCCGGAATTACAGGCATACACTACCACACCCGGCTGGTTTTTTAATTTATTGTAGAGGTGAGGTCTCGCTGCCCAGGCGGGTCTCGAACCCGCGGGCTCAGGCAATCCACTCACCTCAGCCTCCCAAAGGTGCGGGATTACAGGCTGAGCCACCGAGCCTGGCTGTTTTAATGATCTTTATAGATGAGTTACACTATTCTACTTAAGACCAAGGTTATTATAAGGTAGTATATAATATTCTGCTCTTTAGAGTCTATTTCTATATGTTGTCAACAATTAGTTCAGTTGATTTGAAAATGTAATAATAAAAAATGAAAATTTTCATTTGAAAAATAGGATTTATTTCCATGTCAGAACATTATTTTTGACTCAGGAATAATATTTTGGAAGTGGGGCCTGGCCAGTGTATTTTTGTGGCTTCTTGAACTCATCTACAGTTTCTGAGACAGATATCTAGAGTAGGTAATTTGGCAAACAATACAATGTATAATTTAACAATATGGGAATTTATTAACTTTATTTACTTACAATGAAGTTGGAAGAGTATTTTTATAATAACTTATTGGTATATTTTCATTAAAAAATGTTTAAACATCCTTGGTATTCACCATGGTTTAATCAGTCAACCTGGTTTAATCTTTATAAAAGCTGATCGTGACACAACCACTGGTTCAGAGAGCCAACCCATATCTAGCTATTGTCTACCAATTTTCATGAAAAAAATACTGTTTCTTGAAAATGGTGACGTTTTCATACTCAAATATAACAGCTAAGAAAACAAATGTTTCACCCTATTTCAATACCAGTTTACTTTTAAGGATTCTTAGGATGTTTCTCTCTCTCCATTTTCCCCCGGCCCCCGTGCATCTCTTTTGCTGTTGCCTTTGCTTTTTTGGATTCTATAAAAATTCTTGCTCTCTGAAGATGTGCCATCATCTTGCAAGAGCAGCAGCTCTGAACGCTGTACTACAGGAACTGTTATGACATGCCCGTTTCCATAGTTACCACAGCAAGTGGGGAGAGGTGTCTGTCAGGGACCAATTTACCTCTCCAGACAGGCACAGGCACCAAAGGAAAGACATGATACCCACCAATCTTAAGTAGGACCAAACATGGAGCAACAATGAGCAAAATAAAATAGTATTAAATATCAAAGGCCATCACAAAAGCTTTGACATGCATGAAAACCCATCTATAAATAAAGGTGTACTTACCACACACACGAGTATTTTCAATCTATTAAACCGGCTATCAGCATTTTTTAGTTACTTATTTTGTCATGAAAAAATGGTTAAATATAGGAATAAAGTGTACAAGAATATTTATTAATCATTAAATTAAGAGCAAATGTAGTTGATAATGCCAAAGATAAGACTTTCAGTTTCTCTGTCTTCTTCAATAAAAATAATGGTCCTCTGGAAATACTTCTGCTAAAAATAATACAAAGGTAATGCAAATCTTTTTGCAGCAAAAGCGATTAAAATAGTTTAATAAAATTAAAAGGCAAGATACCTAGAAATAAATTTTCCTCATTTTGTTTAAGTTAAACTAACCAGAACATTTTTTATTAGTGGAAATTTGTAGGAAGTTTTTAAAATTGAGGTACAGAGAAATAGTTGTTATAAAATAGTTTATTATGGCAAATAAAAATGCATCTTTTATTCACTAAAACAACTCAAAGTATACTGTAATAAAATCTTAAGATAATTCCTACTCATAAGGCGACTGAAATTAAGGCCTGATGACAGAAACATGAAAAATTTAGATAGAAAAGTGTGTCTTGCAGATTTAAAAATAATTTTCAAAAATTAATGTTGACAAAACACGTGCACATCTTCTGTGCTTCAGCTGAGAACTTAGCTAAATCTCTAAGTACAAATTCACAGCAAACTAAGGCTGCTTGTGCTCTACTTATTTGCATGTTCTGTGCGTGAACACAGCTTGCTCACTGTTTATTAGTCTAAGACCTTCTGGGTCTCCCCCCGGAGATTTTGAAAACAACATTATATAAATGATCATAAAAGGCTTTGAAGGTGCTCAATACCTGGGGATTGGATCCATCAAATCCTTCCTCAAAAATGATGTTCTGGATAAAACGAAGCAGCTTTATGTAGCCATGGGCCAAAGAGCTGTTGGTAAGAAGTGATTCAAATTCATAAATGGGCTTATTACATAGGAAGTACAAAATCTGTGCTCAAACATTAAGTAAATAATGTTTTGCTAGATTTGAGCATTTACTAATTATTTACTAGATACATTTACTAGATTATTTAAAAATAAGATAAAATGTGTCAAAACAGCATTAACTAATCCTAAAATATAAAGCCAGTACATACAGAGAATAAGTTACAATGCTTTATAATAACTTGCTCGGTGTTCTTGACATCATGGGAAGATAAAAATCTGTGGAGACTGAGATGACTTAATTATGTCAGGCTTAGTTACCTCCCAGAAAATTAATGATTTAATGAAGCAACCTAAAGGATGAAGCCACTATTGCTTTTCAGGAGTCATCATACATAATTAACACATAGTTAATGAACTGCTATGCCAAGTACACCTGAATCAACGTCCTTATCACCTGAACTCATCTTCCATCAAAGTAGAAATTTTCTTAGAACTGCTAAAATAACAGTAATTTAAAAACGTGACGTTTTCAGGTACATCAAGAAAAATGAGTACAATCTCTACTAAATTTACTGTTTATTCACTTCCTTTGTTAAAAGACAGTAAAATAAATGTTTGAATTTAAGATAACCTGAATGAAATTATTTTCCATATGAATACTGGCATTAATGACACTATTTTCAAATATTTTACAAATGCTATAAAACAACTCAAAGAAAATTTAGTAAGAATGAAGAAAGTCCACTTTTCATTAACGAAGTTAAGCCTCCACATAATGAACTCTGTGCTATGGCTAGACATTCAATGTTGTAATGATGAGGTTCTGGGCATGACTATTCCACAGACATCGAGGTACCTAACGCTGGAAAAGCCATGGGAGACCTTCAAATTACAAAAGTACTGGCTTCACTGTGACTCAAAGCAAAGCAATCACACAGGCAGAAGAAATGCCCGAAAGAATTAAATACAATTTGAAGCACGTATGCAACAGAATATGAAACGTTAGGACATGTAGTTGTAGACAGCTTAGCATACAAGATCAATAGGTGGTTCAGCAAAGTCTATGAACAGCTCTGCTGACATGTTACTGAACGAAAGTGTCAAAGTGTCTATTCTACAAAAACAGAAGAAGAATGCTGTGCAAAACAAATATGGCCCAGATAACGGAGGATTTGGTAGCATGGTTATTGCTCATGTAGCAATTTCTATATTTTCTGGGAAAACACTGTGAATTACATAGACACATCTTCCCACTTTCACAAGTGAGGGAATGTGTCTATCAATAGTATTCCGTAAGGGCAACTCTGTGACCATTTCATATCTTAACACACATTTGTGCTGGCAAGCTCAGCTTTCAGCACACAGAGTTGCTGTTTGTATGCAGTAGATTCAGTTTTGATATGGGTCAATTAGTTTTACACAGGCAGTAAAGTCTGCTCCAAAGTTTCCGATATAAAATGAATTCCAGCCGGCCATTTGATTAATATCACTATGGGTTAGAGGAGGGTAGATACAAAATATATCCAGTGCATTCTAATCCAACATTAATAATTCTACCCCAAGCATTATTTAATATAATAATAATATAGGATCGTGCAGCATTTGCCTGAGCTAGGCTTACTGCATTTAGCATAATGTTTCATCCATGTTGTCACAAATGACAAGATTTTCTTTCCTGTGAAGGTTAAATGATATTACAGCTTGTGCAGGTATGGACATCACATTTTCTTTATCCAATCATCTGTTGATGAACACAGGTTGATTCCATATCCTGGTTATTGTGAGAAATGCTGTCATAAACATGGGAGTGTAGATACCTCTTCAATATACTTTTCTTTTAGAAAACGAGAGGCAGTCATGCATGCATAGCGGCGTTTTGGTTGACAACTAACCACATACAATGGTGGTCCCGTAAGATTATAATAGAGTTCAAAAACTCCTATTGCCTAGTAATGTCGCAGTCACCATAATACCATGGTGCAACACATTACACAAATGCTTATGGGGATGCTGCTATAAACAAACCTACCACAATGGTGGTCCCGTAAGATTATAAGAGTTGAAAAACTCCTATTGCCTAGTGACTTTGTAGTCCTTGTAATATCATAGTGCAACACATTACACAAATGTTTATAGAGATGCTGATTTAAAACAAACCTACCACACTGCCAGCCGTATAACAGCATAGTCACATATAATTATGTACAGTAGAAAATACCTGATGAGAATGACTGTGTAACTGATTTATGTATTTACGGTACTCTTAATCATTATTTTGGCATGCACTCCTTTTACTTATACAAGAAAAAAGTTAACTGTAAAACAGCCTCAAGCAGATCCTTCAGGAGGTATTCCAGAAGAAGGCAGTGTTATCATAGGACATGACAGTTCCATGGGTGTTACTGTCCCTGAAGATCTTCCAGAGGGACAAGGTGTGGAGGTGAAAGAAGGTGATATTGATGATCCTCACCCTATGCAGGCCTAGGTTACTGTGTGTGTTTATGTTTTAGTTTCTAACAAAATAATTTAAAAGTAAAAAAATTAAAAAAATTTAAAATAAAAGACAGCATATAGAATAATATAAAAAATTTAGTACAATTGTGTAATGTGTCTATATTTTAAACTGTTATTACAAGAGTTGAAAAGTTAAAAAAATTAAATTTGTGAATAAAAATGTGACAGAAACTAAGCTTAATTTGTTATTGAAAAAATTAAATATATGCAGTGTAGCCTAAGTGTACAGTGTTTATAATGGCTATAGTGTGTACAGTAATGTCCTAGACCTTCACATTCACTCACCACTCACTCACTGACTCCCCCAGAGCAACTTCCAGTCCTGCAAGTTCCATTCATGGTACGTGTCTATGCAGCTGTACCATTTTTTATCTTTTAGATTGTAGTTTTATGGAAGTTTTCCTATGTTTAGACATATAAATACTTACTGTGTAATAACTACCTACAGTAGTCAGTATAGTCACATGCTGTACAGGGTTGTATCCTAGGCTGTACCACATAGCCTAGGTGTGCAGTAGCCTGTACCATCGAGGTCTGTGTATGCACACTGTGTGATGTTCATCCAAAAATGAAATTTTCAACACTTATCTTTTGCATTTTTGATAAAAGCCATTCTAACAGGTATGAGAAGATACCTCATTGTGATTATGATGTGCATTTCCTTAATGATTAATGATGATGAGCATTTTTTCACATGCCTGTTGACCATTTGTCTTCTTTTGAGAAATGTATATTCAGGCCCTTAGCCCACTTTAAAAATCAGGCTTTTAGTTTTCTTGCTAATGAACCATATGTTCAATCAGGTTATTTGTTCCCTTGCTACTTGTTTGCCTTAAATATTTTGAATATTAATACCTAAATAAAACAATCACTAGTCGGGCTCGGTGGCTCAGCCTGTAATCCCAGCACTTTGGGAGGCTGAGGTGAGTGGATTGCATGGGCTCGCGGGTTCGAGACCAGCCTGGGCAACTTGGCGAGACCTCATCTCTACAATAAATCAAAAAATTAGACGGGTGTGGTAGCGCACGCCTGTAG